AGACAAGCCTCTGGCGAGGAGCAGGCTCATCATTCAGCCTTGCCTCTCCAAGCAACAAGAAGTAATTGTCTTCACGATTTCTGAGTCACCTGATAACCTCCCCCCAGACAATATTTCCCCTGTGCTGGTTCTGCAGATGCTGCTTGGACTTCCCCCCTACCTGGGTCTGGGTGGCCCACAGAGACTCACAGCGCTCCGCAGGTCCTTTCTGCCTGACACACATTGCAGCTCCAGAGCTTACAGTGCCCAACAAGCTGGCATGATGCTGCCACAGGCTTCTTTTCAGACTGCCACGCCTTTCCAAGGCGTCAATCTCTGGGTCTGAACACTGCCATGCTGGATCTCTCCTCACGGGTGAGTATTTTTAGAAAGTTTGAGCTCAGACCATGCAGTCACTCCTGAGCTATGCCAGGATGAAAAGAAAACAACCACTTTCGCCTGAACAATACAGGCACGGAACGAAAAGCCACTGCAAATGGGGTTTTTCAACATCACCCAAAACTAGCCCAGCTTTGAAAGATGAAACTCACAGTCAAAACAAAACTAACCCCAGTTTTAAAAAAAAAAACCCCAAAAAAAAAAAAAAAAAAAAAAAAAAAAAAAAAAGGAAAGAAAAAAACCTACTTTCCTAGTGAACAGAAAGGGCTTTGACAATTTACTTAAAAAGCCGGATTAAAGCGAAACGATGTTACACAAACGCTGGCGGGCGTGCTGCAGCTTGCAGGCAGCACAGCGTTCCATCTCCATCCCCACTGCTCTGCTCGCCAGGCCCAGGGTGTTTGTTACCTGCCGGCTGAAGCACAGCATGGCCCCTGGTTAATGTCACCTGCCAGGGGAGGAGCTGTGCGGCCCCCGAGGGGAAGTGTTATTGCCCCATGATGGAGCAGGAAAGCAACCTCGAGGGATGCAGCTCCTCTCTGTCCCCAGACTGTGAAGCTATGTATGCAGTGGCAGCTGGGGACAAACACCCTCTCCCTGCCAGCTGTGTGGGACCTGCATGGAGGAGCTGCAGCCATGCGGGTGGCCGGAGGTCACCGTCGCCTCTGGAAACCACCCGAAATCTCTGGTGCATATTGTACCCTGTGGACAACTTGAAGTGGATGTTTCTGAGGACTCTCGCTGCAGAAATTTCCTGTTTTTCTGTATTGCTCAATCATTCCTCTGCTCATGGGAGAGATGGAGCCAGGGTGTCTTCAGCAGCAGCAGGATGAGGTGTGTGTGCTAAGAAGGGTACCAGGAGCTCAGCCTTCCCCTGAGTGGGAGAGCAAGCAAGGCTGGCTCCTGACCTTTTCCATCAGGCTACAGCTGCTGAGGACATCTGCGAGTGCCAGAAGCTCCTGGCACTCTACACAACAGAGAACAGGAGTATGTGAGTGAATAAACACATATATATGTGTTTGTGCGGGGACATTACTTCACAGAATGGTCATGGAGAAAACCCAGTCAATTTTAGCCCATTGTTATTGTGACTGTTTGGATCATGAGGGCCTAGGAAGTCAATGTGGGCAGGCAGGAGGTTGGGAGCTGCCAGGTGCCGGCTCTCCTCTGCCCACAGGGCACAAGCAGCTCCAGCATTCCTCTCTGGCCTCTCCTCACAGGGCCATTTCCCCCCATCTCACTGCTCAGCAGGGACCTCTTGCCACCAGGAAGGCAGCCACGGAGTTTGTCCTTCTCCAGTGAGGTATGGGGTGCCACATTTTCAAGTTCTCCCCAGAGGTCTCTGGTTTCCACCCATTTGGCTTCTCTGAGTTTTAGAAATTTGGGGGTTCCCCTGCTGCTCCTGCCTCCATCCTTCCCTGGATGGTAGAATGCAGACTGAGGGAAAAAGCAACCAGGCTCAGCACAGCAGTACCTCCAGCATCATGCCTGTGGCTACCACTCTCACTGTGAGTTGCAGCCTCTGGTTATTGCCTGAGAAAGATTCTATGAGGGAAAGTTTTGCTGAAGTAACAAAGCTGCAGAGGAAGAGAAACCACAAAGCTCACAAGTGCACCTGTGTTTGGAGATGGACTTGAGCCTGGGTGGGTGATAGGGGCAGGTAATAAGGAGGAGACTGTCTAACAGGTGATCTAGTTCGGTTTTGGTCTGGAAGTCAAGCTTATGGTAGTTTTATCTTATCTTTTTTATTGCTTAGGATATTGCAGCTGTGCAAGCTGTTACTCTTTAACTTGCAGGAAGCTGAAATGCACAGCAAGCACTTAACCCAATTCAGCAACAGGTTTGAGGGATGCTAAGCTTAACATGGCTGCTCTCAGCCTACCAGGGTTGGAGAATTTAATTGCTGATTTTCTCTGAATCCTGTCATCCCTTAGTTGAAAAAAATGAGGTGATGGTGATGGGGAAGCTCAAAGTGATTAACAAACTGTTAGGGCAAACAGGCGGGCTGGGCTGGTGAAAGGCCCTGCCTAGGGCAGTGTCAGTGGCGGCCGTTTCCCTGTTGACATGGAGCTGGTCTTTGTTTTGTTCTTTGCACAGGAGGAATCATATAATATGTTCATAAAGCAAAGGATTTACTGTCAATGCTGGGTGGCTGGGCTGCTAGGGCCAAACGTGATTGGAGCCAAACACGACTAAAACTTCCCCTTCAAGCTGTAGAGGACCACATACACACAAGCCTCTGTGTGCTGCAAGCCAGGCAACCTGCATTTTCCATCCTCTACCAACATTTTAAAGTTGATAGTACCCCTAGTAGAGAAGGTAGTGCAGCTCTCCCTGCTTGGATTCACCGTGCCCTAGGGGTTAACATGGAGTTCAGCAGTCAGGCACAAACATCCTGGGGAAAGGAGCAGCTGCATTAAGGCTTGATTCAAGTGTAAAGCCAACAGAAACTAATGGAAAACCCGCTTGCCTGGGATTGGGCAACTTGGACAAGACTGTGAGGACAGGGGCACTGTGCCCGACCTTTGGGAATGACCTGGGCATTGGGTTTAGAACATACCTGGGGAGAGAGAGGCAGGTTTAGCTGAGGTTTGCTGCCTTTGGGAAGGCACCAACCACCATATCCTCTTAAAACAGCTATTAGGAACATTAGAAGCCGAGAAAGCTGCTGTAACATAGGCCAGCTTGGGCAGGAGAGGGCACATGCTTAATGGATCAGAGGAGCATCAATGTGCTTCGCTCCAAGAGGGAAAACAAACTGCATCCTTGTTGCAGTAAGTGGAGAAGAAACGTTTTCCCAGCTGCCATGGAAAAAGCAGCTACTGCTGAGGAATTACCTATTGCTCCAGCTCTCTTCTCTCAGGGAAGACCAGCATCACTTTTACATGGCCTGAAAACTGCTGTGCAACCCCTCTTTTAATCACTACATGCACAGACTGCTGGTAGTGCTTCCTGCTTGCACCTCTTAGCAGCAGCTGCAGGAATCCCTGAAGCCTCCCCTCAGCAGTTGGCAAAGAGGGAGCTGAATTAAGATCCTGCCACAGAAAACATCCTTGTGCTTTGAGGCCTGTCCTGTGGTGAGAACTGTGCAAGGCACTCAGGGAATCTCAAGGTGCCCTCAAACTCCTCCTCCTCTCCACCCATTACGCTGTTTCTGAAGGATTTCCACAGGACACCACACATGTGGGTCTTCAGCATTTATCTCAAAGAAACAGTTGTGGCTTTTACATAATGCACCCTTAAGTGTCCTGGTGCTTTAATAGCTGAATGGCACCTAACCTCCACTTTTCCTTAGAAGGAAGTGATAAAATAGCTAATTTATACTGCCCCTTAATTACACAATGCAAAGTCACTGTGTTTTTTCCTGTTCTGTAGGATGGTGAAGCATGAAAGTTAACTATTGTTGGGTATGTGACGCTGTTCCCCTATTTTTCCTGCTCATGCAGGAAAATGGGAGAGTGTCTTTACTAGAAGTGTTTACAGAGCAGGAACACCGAAACTGCAGGGCAAATTGCCCAGCCTGAAATATGAGCAGGACATGAGCAGCCTAGTTTCTGTGGCCTCTCAAATAAAATAAAATTCCTTTTTTTACTGATCGTAACTGACCAACAGTTCTTCACCAAATTACATCCAAGTGACATCACCTCTAGCCAGGGTGCCATCAGCCCAGCCTGGATGGGGACGTACCCATCTCCAGGGACCAGCATGACCTTGTGCTGCTGCCCAGGCCCCAGGGGTGGCAGAAGCAGATGGAAGCAGTGATGCCAGTTGCAGGAGACACAAGACTTGGATCAGCACTCCCCTGCTCCTTCAAAGGTCATAAATCATTATTGCAAAGGTGCAGAAAGAAAATTGCCTCACTGCTCATAACAACCTAGGCCAAGGAGGTGAAATGGAGCAAAGCCAAAGCAGAGTTAAGTGTTTGAAGGAAACAGAAGCTGGAAAGGAAAAACAAAGCAAAAACAACAACGAAAAACCAGCTTGTACATGGTTATTAAGCACTTACAATGTTCTCATGCAGCTTAGGTAAGCAAACTAGAGTTTAGCATTACAGTAGGCATCAGCCCTGGTGCTGTACTCCACCTCCAAGTGCATGAGGAGGCTGGCAACACTTAGAAGCCAGGTTGACTGGAAACAGGTGTTTATGGGAATTAAGGAGGAAGAATTGGGAAGGGCTGACAGCTCCTTGCGATAGGAGCACTCAACTGCCTCCTTAGTGTAAAGGTCAGGGCAATTACAGTCAAAAGACTGCCTTTTGGCAGGGCTCACCTGCCTGAGCAGATTTAATCATTCACGCAAGGGAGAGGGAGGCTTTCAGGCTCCTAGGGCAGGAAAGGAGTGAGAAAGCATGGAGGGAGAGAGCACAGCTCAGGATCTTTGTGCACAATGAGGCGAGTCCTTCTGGTGTCCCAGATCCAGCAGCACTCAAAGGGGGTCCTAGAAGCAGCACCAAAAGCCCCGTGAAAGCAATTCACTTCTTTGGTTTTTGGAACATTACCTTTTAGTAGGGATCATGTAATCATCTGTGCTCTCCCAATCCATAGTTAGAGACCAGCCACTGTGCTGCTGATACTCCCCCCTCACCTCTCTGGACAGACAAGGGACTTCCCTGTGATTTCTGAGAATTAAGTTTTATTCTCCAGCTAGACAGCAGTGACCGATAAATTTCTCTTTAATATAGGCCTACAAAAGGAGATCCATAAAATACTTCTATTTTCTCTTAAAAAATTACTATGGGAGCCCATGGATTTGTGGAGGAGTTGTACCTGTCCCAGCAACACAAGAACAGAGGGACAAAGAGATAGGTTTCACAGACAAGGCAGAGGCATTCTCAGTTTTAAACAAACCCACCCAGGGTAGGTATGTACCCACATCTTGCAGGGAGCAGCTGCCCTCTGCTCTGGGCTATCAGATGCTAGGCAAAGAGAAAAACATTCCTCCTCTTAACTCAGCAGCAGCTCTGCACGTCAGCTCTTTGCTGATAAACAAAGAGCTCCTAATTCCAGCTGCATTCCCCATTTTGAGAATAAGCAGCCCTGCTCCTCGGCGCTTTTTACAACTACTGCTGCTCGAGAGAAGGGGGAGTGGGAGGGAAGGATTACAACACCATCCATCCCAAAAAAAAACAAACCAGAAGAAAACCCCAGGCAGGCAGTTCAGCTCTCCCTAGCACGGAATGCACGATGTGGACATGTCCAGAGGCAGAGGTATAGCCACCCTTTTACTTCAGGCTCCGATGAGTTTCTTGAGGAATGCCTCCAGCTGATCCTCATCCTTTATCCCCACAAACTTATCCACAACGTCTCCATTCTTCATAGCCAGCACGGTTGGCACTGCGGACACCTGGGAGCAAAAGAAACAGGGAGACACTCATGAGCAGAGGCTGCAGAGAGCCCAGCTGCACCCAGGCCCCAAAAGGAGATTTACAGAAGTGGCTACACAGGAGCTGAGCATATACTGATCAAGGGCAACACGTCTGCTCACAAAACACAGGCCAGCCAAGCTCCATGTTCCTCCTCTCCCTGTGGCCTCATCTCTGCACTGCTTTACATTGCACTGCTTAAGTCTGAGCAGCTTTTTGAGTTTAAGTAAGGCCCAAAATTTTGAAGTCAAACCCAAAGCAAACAGAAAAACAAACACAAAGTTTTCCCCCTGCCTCAAGTACAAATTCCTCTTCTCCTTCCCTTTTGTCCTATCATAAGCAAATAAATGCAGTCTTTTATGAGGACACCTCTCAGATGTGATGACCTTTGGACGTTTTACGGCCAGGGTGGTATCCAACTGGATCTGTGTCCTTCTCCAAACATGACTGAAGCTGGAGGAGTATTCCCCACCCATCACTGCACAGGCAGATTTCCTGCTCCATTCTACCATGGTAATGACAATGCCCTCCAACCCATCTTTTATTTTCTGCTTCTGTATTAAGTGGTTCAGCTGGTCACGCACCAGTGGCTATTCACTGCAGATCCCTGACAATTAAGTAAGAAGTAAAAAAAGTCCCTCTGAACAGAGCCAACAGGCAGCTGTGTTGCCCTGGGCACTGCTTTCGTAGCCCAAAACAAAGTTTTCTGAGAATTATCCAGAAGAACAGCAGTGGAAATGACAACACTCCCCAGGGACTTGCCAGCTGACCAGCAACATCAGAGACCCTGGGGACACGACTGAAAGAAAGAGTGACCAGTGCTCAGAGAGCTGCAGCAATGGGGAGATCTGGTTGTGTTTCTGACACCACAGCTTTGGTGTCCTCATCTCGACAAAGCCTCCCCTCTGAAACACGTCATCTTGTCCTTATCTCGATTGCTGACTCCCCACCAGCCTGCAGGGCCTTCCTGCCTGTGCTGCCAGCCTGATGCCAGCAAGGATTTGCAAATCCTTCCTTGGGAAACCCGCCAGAGGGCTGGCTTTTCTCCCACCGGCAGCTTGAGATGAAAGGGACATTTTGTGCTTCCCTTCCCACCCGGTCCTGGCCGGCTAGCCCGGCGTGGCTCCCCGCAGTCTGTCCTCCAGGGCTTGTTGCAGTCTCATCTGAAGGGATGGGAGCGCCGGGGCTGCTGTAAGGCATGATCTTCAGCACCTCCTAGTGACAGGCAGGAGCGGATCCCGAGGGCTCCGACCCCAGGCAGGGCTGAGGAGGGTGCCACCAACATAGAATCACAGCATCTTTTTAGTTGGAAAAGACACCAAAAGATCATGTCCACCCTTAACCAAACACTGCCAAGTCCACCACTAAACAATGTCCCTAAGCCATCTACGTGGCTTTTAAACACCTCCAGGGATGGTGACTCCACCACTTCCCTGGGCAGCCTGTTTCAGTGCCTGACAACCCTTGCAGTGAAGAATTTTTTCCTAATATCCAATCTAAAGCTCCTGGCACAACTGGAGGCCACTTCCTCTTGTTCTGTCACTTGTTATTTGGGAGACCAACCCCCACCTTGCTACAACCTCCTTTCAGCTTGCTGTAGAGAGTGATACAGCCTTTTTCTCCAGGCAAAACAACCCCAGTTCCCTCAGCTGCTCTTCAGAAAGCTGCTCCCTTTTGATTTTATGGGTGAGAAAGGACTGAAGGGCATCATCACTGATCCTCCCCCTGGTTTGCAAAGTGGGTTAAATAATGAGCAGAGTTGCCTCAACTCCATCCAAAAAAACCAGCATGCCCAACCAACTGCAAGCATCAGGTCTTAGAGCCTGGGCAAGGAACAGGCAACTCTTTGAAGCACAACAGAGAAGGAAGCAGCTAACACCAAGTTACAGGACTCTGTATGCTGACCAGTGGACCCAGGACCCACACAGCCTTGATCCCACCATCTCTTTCTGTTTGAATGGGTGGCAGGTCTGGGGCTGGCACTGAAGAGCTGGGCGAGGACCCATGGCTGACCATGAGCCAACAATGTACACTGGTGCCCAAGAAGGCCAGTGCCATCCTGGGATGCATCAAGAAGAGTATGGCCAGGAAGTCAAGGGAGGTTATCCTTCCTCTCTATTCTGCCCTGGTATGGCCACATCTGGAATACTGCATCCAATTCTGGGCTCCCCAATTCAAAAAGGATAAGGAACTACTGGAAAGACTCCAGTGCAGGGCCACAAAAATGACTGGAGGAATAGAGCATGTGCCCCATGAGGAAGGGCTGAGAGATCTGGGTCTGTTTAGTCTGGAGGAGACTGAGGGGGGATCTTATGAATGCTTGTAAATATCTAAAGGGTGGTGTCAGGAAGATGGGACCAGTCTCTTTTCTGCAGTGTCCAGTGACAGGAGAAGGGGCAATGGCCATGAGCTGGAGCATATGAGGTTCAAGTTAAACATAAGGAATAACTTCTTTACTGTGAGAATAACAGAGCACTGGAACAGGCTGCCCAGAGAGGTCATGGAGTCTCCATCCTGGAGACATTCAAAACCCATCTGGATGTGTTCCTGTGGGATCTACTGTAGGTGATCCTGCTCTAGCAGGGGGGTTGGACTAAGTGATCTTCAGATGTCCCTTCCAACCCCAACCATCCTGTGTCTCTGTGACTAAGGGCACTGAGCAACGTGCTTCAGCCCAGAAAACATGATGATTTTGACAGCTTCCTTCCTGCTGGCTGCAGCAAGGGCAGCCCCTTAACAGAGCACATACTGTGTTTTGCTGCTTGAGAAGCAAATGTCATGGGAATTTCTAGAATGCAAAGTTGGGGGCTTTTTTTTTTCCCCTTTTTAAAAATTTTCCTTCTTTTTTTTTTTTTTGTCCCATGTGCACTGAACATAAACAAACCCTCCTCCTCCCTCAAGAGCTCTTCTAGAGAAAAGGTCAGGCTGCTTTTGATCCGTGCTGACCACACAGATAAATAATTCCATCCAGGCTATTCTTGGCAGGACCTGTACCAAGGGAATTCTCTCCCATCTGAAACCAGGGCTTTTATACAAGCTGGGATACCACACAATGGAGCAGAGGGAAGGATTTCACCTGGGCTTCAGAATTAGGCATCAACCAGGACTAAGCTCTGCTGGCAAATGACCCACCCTGTGTCCAGCAGCAATTCCCAAGGTGCCCACCTGTAGTGACTGGAGAAGGAGCTGCCTTTTCCCAATGGCCACACATGTGGCCAAGAGGCCAAGGCAAGAGATCTGAGGAGTTTTAAGAAACAGCAAATTAAAACAAAACTATTCCTTCTCTCTTTCTGCTCTCAGGGCAAGAGGTCAGGAGCAGGCTGGAGCAGCAGAGAAAGGCCACAACCAGGGATGAAAGGTCTAAGATAAAAGGAGGAATCTCTAGAGAAAGAACTTTTGTGCTGGGCATAACTGGATGGGGAAGGGCACTGGGGATGTTTCTAGTTGCAGGAAATGCATCCCTGCTTTGTGCTAAGCTGGAATGACTGGGACCCACGGGCAGGGGGACAGCAGTGCTTGTGAAGGAATGCAATGGCATTCCTCAGCTCTTCCAGGGGGTCCCTCCACCCACCCTGTGTCCAGCAGCAATTCCCAAGGTGCCCACCTGTAGTGACTGGAGAAGGAGCTGCCTTTTCCCAATGGCCACACATGTGGCCAAGAGGCCAAGGCAAGAGATCTGAGGAGTTTTAAGAAACAGCAAATTAAAACAAAACTATTCCTTCTCTCTTTCTGCTCTCAGGGCAAGAGGTCAGGAGCAGGCTGGAGCAGCAGAGAAAGGCCACAACCAGGGATGAAAGGTCTAAGATAAAAGGAGGAATCTCTAGAGAAAGAACTTTTGTGCTGGGCATAACTGGATGGGGAAGGGCACTGGGGATGTTTCTAGTTGCAGGAAATGCATCCCTGCTTTGTGCTAAGCTGGAATGACTGGGACCCACGGGCAGGGGGACAGCAGTGCTTGTGAAGGAATGCAATGGCATTCCTCAGCTCTTCCAGGGGGGCCCTCCCCCTCACCTGCCTCCTCCTGCACTAAGGAGGCTGCTGAAGAGGACATTGTGCAATCAGGCAGCAAGATGGGAGCTGCATGCGTGGGCAGGGGAAGAACATGGATGGAAGGAGACCTCCTGGCAGCTAATGGAGGAGCTGGAGGAGTGGAATGGACCCTAAAACAAGAGCTTTCTCAGCCTGCAGACATCTGTTCCCTGGTGGAATGGTTGCAAAAAAAATAAACCTTTCCTGATCCCTCCCAAATACCACTTTTGGTTTTTCTGATCTCTCCCAAAAAATACCTTTTGTCCATCTTTGATCTCAATTTGGTGTCTTCCCATCAGCCCTGATGCTCACATCTCCTTAACCAGCAACTTCACAGAAGATGAAGCAAAACCACAGTGCATGAACAAACTTCTGCCTTGAAAGGATGCCCCAAACTATGAAGAGCAAAGGAAAAATTTCTCCTTTACCCCCACCCATTTGCAGCTGCCCTACTGACAGACACTGCCAAGAGGTGGGGTCTTAGCCACAGGGATAATGGTCCCTGCATCACTCAGAGCAGAGGATGCAAGCAACAACCCCCAGGCCCTCCTGCAAAACAAAAACTTCATAACGTTTATAGGTAAGGATTAATTGCTGGAAGCCAGCCCTTGCCTGCAGCCTGAAGCCTGCCTGCACCTGTGTCACCAGGGCTGCACACACAGACCCTGTGGACAAAAGTGTGCAGGCAGCAGGGTGTGCAGCTGCTCACTCACTGTCTGGTGGGAGAGCACACACAGCCTGCCATCAAACCTGCACAACTCTGTCAATTTCAGCCTCCTTTTAAAGACCTTTCTTCACATGCACACACACTATTTGCCATTTTCCAGCCATCTGAGATTATCCTCTTGTAATCCCAGCTAATTCTATCTACTGGAAGGCTTGGAACAATACAAGAGTTAAGCTAATAATATCTATTCTCTTCTCCTTTTCTCCTTAGGGTGGCTGCTACCAGAGCCTTGTATTAGGCTGTAAACCCTATTAGGGTTTACAGACTTTTCTAAACCCAACCTCAACCTCTTCAACTTCTCACCAGCACCCTCCAGCTATGCAGCCTTCAGACTTGCAAAACCCAGCCCTGCTCAGGAGCCAGCAGCCATGTTCCTTGGCCTGGGGCGTATCTGCCAGCACAGCCACCGCTGAGGAGAGCACTGGAGGCTCTCATGCTCAGCTTGTGGAAGCTTGCAAGTCATGTTTGTGGGCACCAGCTGGGT